ATCCAAGATTGACTGTAATCATGAAACCCAGATTTCCAACAATATACAGATCCTAGAAAGAGGTAAATCAAACCAAAGCAAACAAACTCAGAAATCTTGCACAAAGTATGGTCGGAGCCCGGAGGGTAAGATGTACGCAAGCCTTACCTCCACCCCGAAGAGTAGAGAGGTTGTTTCTATGAAGACTCCAACTTGTAAAAAGGCTTTGGGATTTTTTTTTTGTGAGAAATGAAAAGAAGCTTGAAAGGTTTGATAGAATATTGATAGAAAGAAAAGTGAAACAAAATAAAAGAAAGAAAATGAGTTTAGGAGAGTTAAAAAATTAGTAACAAGGACAAATAATAATAATAATAATAATAATAATAATAATAATAATAATAATAATAGTAATAACAATAATAACAACAACAATAATAATTAAAAGCATGCATGGACATAAAAAACATACTAAAAGATAGGGGTGTTCATCTAAGCCCACAAACCGCCCACATTGCACCTTAGAACTTTGATGGTGCGATTTGCGATTTTGAATCATCAAACCGTGGTTAAAACCGCACATCTTTTATTTTTTTAATATATATGTGTGTGTATGTCTTTTATTCTCATAGTCCAAAGTCCAAGCCAAAAATAGCCTCTTAAGTTTAACCTTTAGTGGTTTACCTCCACTCCAGACCAGAAGTTCGTTATTCACGATTTCAAATTTTCAATTTCTATAGACGATTTATAATCATGTAATATGTATCTTGTACGCATTGGAACTTTTTATTGTATAGAGTATAGACTATGGACACGTTATCGTTGAACTTATTTCAAAGTTACAATTTTATAATTTTTTGATTGAAATGTGCGAGGTACAAACAGCACCGTACTTCACGGTGCGGTTTTTGCAGTTTGAGGCATATGCGGTGTGGTTGCTCAAACCGCATATGCAATAAATTGCACTGCAAACACACTTACTAAAAGGTATGGAACCATTGGACCAACTAAAGAAAGTTTGACCTCCTAGAGCTTTGTTACTTCTCACCCGTCATTTACTTCCCCTCCCCACCCCCAAAAAACCACAGGTCCTTATACACAATCTGCTACCCTATTCAAGCGTCTCCACTAACACCTATACGAGGTCATATCTTCCGAAATGCCTAGTCGCCATGTCCAGTCTTAATTGCTCCTCTCGCGTCCTCCTTGGTTTGCCCCTCTTTACACCTGCAACCCTAACGCTCTCCACTCTCCTCACTGGTGTTGGATATTGTGCCTAGCACAGTCAAATTCGGTATTTACTAGCGATCATTTATCATGATAGGCACATAGCTTTCTAGGGTCCCTAAGGAAGTCTTGGGTTCTTGGAAATCTTGTATCATGTAGATTCCTTCATATTTCATTTATGTCTAGAGGCTAGACTTATCCTAAATGTTTTGTCATAGGACTTGGAACTAGTTCTAGGATGTTCATGCATGTAAAATTCTCGTTAGAAGATAGAGACTTCCGTACGAAGAGTCTTCCTGATTTGTAACCATCCAACAAGAAATGTAACAAAGTATCCAATCAGTTTGACGCACATATCTCTAAGCAATTGTGCGAGTTCTTCCACCTCAGTCCCTAAGCAAGTGTTGGAGTCTCACATCAGCTAGACTTGGACCATTTCTCCTACATATATGTTGGAACCTAGGGCTCTTTAGAAGAGTTATATGGGGGCTCCACATATTCTCACATGATATCAGAGCCAAGGTCTGCCACTCTAGGGACTCAACACTGCGGCTAACCCCCTCTCGACACCCTGGGATTGTGTCCATCTAGCCTTCGTTGGAGGGGGCGTGTTGGGAGTCCCACATCGGCTAGACTTGGACCATTTCTCTTGTATATATGTTGGAACCTCCCATTTCTCCTCAAGAGCTCTTTTGGAGAGTGATATGGGGGTTCCACATTGTAATCATAGATTATATTATTGCTTAACTTGTATCTTACAACAAAAAGGTACAAGGATATATATAGACAAGAAACTAAGAGAAACCCTAAGGGCCAGGGGCTAATTGGGCCTATACAAATAAATGCAATATTTATATTCTAACACTCCCCCTCAAGCTGTAATTATGCTCAGCTTATTACACATAGAAGAGATTCGTGAACCATGGTAAAGACATCAGCAAGTTGACTTCCAGTTCGAACAAAGGGAGTCGAGATGGTTCCATCTTCTAGCTTTTCATGAGTGAAACGGCAGTCTACTTTGATATGTTTTGTTCTTTCATAAAGCACAGGATTGTTTGCAATGTGGATAGTCGCCTCATTATCACAATATAGATTCATCGGTTTAGATTGAGCAAACCCAAGCTCACCTAGCAGATTACACAACCATATCAACTCATAAGTGGTTTGGGCCATAGCCCTGTATTCAGATTCAACACTTCACTGGAAACGACATTAAGTTTCTTGCTTTTCCACGAAACTAGATTCCCTCCAACCAACACACAATAGCCTGTTGTAGACCGCTTGTTCGTAGAATTCCCATTATAGTCGGCATCTCTGAACCCTTCTATGACATGATGACCGTGATTTTGATAAAGGAAGCCAAGACCAGGGCAACCTTTAGGTACTTCAGTATATGCCTAACAGCGTCCCAATGTGTTCTTGGAGATGACATAAACTGAATTACAACACTCACTGGAAACGTGATGTCTGGACATGTAATAATCAGGTAGTTTAGCTTTCCCACAATTCTTTTGTATTTTTCTGGATCCTCAAGTAGATCTCCATCATCGTCTGGTTTCAATTTCATATTTGGAATCACTGGGGCCTCACAAGGTTTTGTTTCAATCATCCCAGAGTCATCCAATATATCCAAAAAATATTTCCATCGAAACAAACAGATCCCTTTCCGAGTACGAGATACTTCAATTCCCAAGAAGTATTTTAAAGGACCTAGGTCCTTTGTTTGAAACCGCGACACAAGGAAATCTTTCAGCTTCTTGATCATGGTCTCATCACTCCCAGTAATTACAATGTCATCAACGTACGCCACAAGTAGAATACATCCAGAAGAGAGAAAACGTAAAGAACACGGAATGATCATAAGAGCTCCTCCATAATCCAAACTCAGTCACTACAGCATTAAACCGTCCAAACCAAGCACGAGGGGATTGCTTTAAACCATACAGTGATTTACGCAATTTACAGACTCTGCCAGACTCCCCCTGAGCAACAAACCCAAGTGGTTGCTCCATATAAACTTCCTCGTGTAAATCACCATGCAAGAAGACATTTTTCTCATCAACCATAGCATTCCGCCATCTAGGACGGGCCAAAGCTTCACCAACCGTTTTAGAAACAAATAAAGAATCAAGTGTAGAGATCAAAGAACGAGAACGTGAAGAAAGTTTGTCATAGGAAACAACAGAAGAAATACTTACCCGTCCGAAGGGCAATGGGAACATCAAGATCAGGATCCTATATATCGGAAGGTGGTGGATCATTCGAAGCAAGAGGATCAGCATTAGGCGGATCTGCAGACAATGACGGAATTGATATAGGGTCGGGATCAGATGTAGGTCGTTGCCGCCTATTATACACATGAACTATCTGTGGTTCAGTAGGCTCTTGAGGCTGTGTCGAGTCGGATAGGGTAGGAGACTCGGGAACAGGTATGGTATATACCAACAGATCATCACTATCTCTTGGGTTGCAAGGAGTAGACACAGGAAATAAGAGTATATTCTCATAGAAGGTAACGTCTCGAGATACAATATATCGATAAAGCGTGGGAGAAAAGCACTTATACCGTTTTTGAAGTCGAGACACATTTCAGAGACTTTGGATCCAACTTAGTTATGTATGGTCGGGTATCACGGACAAAACAGGTACTACCAAAGATCTTTGAGTCGATGGGAAACGATGATTTTGTAGGAAACAAAATTGAGAAAGGATCTCTACCATCCAAAACAACAGAGGGCAACCGATTGATGAGAAAACAAGCAGTAGCAAAAGCATCAGCCCAGAAGAGTTTAGGAACAGTCATGTTAAGAGATGACGATTCTTTCGTACAGCAACCCCATTCTGGGCTGGTGTGTCAACACAAGAAGACTCATGAAGAATACCATTTTGAAGCATATATGACAGAAATGTTTGAGACGAATATTATTTTGCATTATCACTACGAAGAGTTTGAATTGAGACTTTAAACTGTGTTTTAATTTCAGCATAGAGTGAACAAAAATGTGTAAATACCTCAGATTGATTTTTCAAAAAATAAAGCCAAGTAGTGCCAGAGTAATCATCAACAGAAGTAACAAAATACTTAAAACCCAATTTTTGAACTGACAGTACATGGTCCCAAACATTAGAATGTACCAACTCAAATGAGGATGTGTCCCGCTTATTACAAACTCTAGGACTTAAATGAACACGTTGATGTTTGGCAAACAGACTAGACTCACACCGTAGAGAAGGTAAATAAGAAAACTCAGGACAACTTCTTCAGATTTTGTAAAGATGGATGACCTAATCGACAATGAACTTCAAGCGGAGACGATAAGCTGGAACAAGTCAATGAGTAAGGTATTTGACGTTCAAATATATCTAGGCCGTCAGTTTCCCGCCCTTTACCAAAATATTCTTCTTCGTCAACAGATCCTGAAAGACAGGGAAATCAAGAAAGAATGATACAGAGCAATTTAAAGCATGGGTAATTTTAATGACTAATAACAAATTGAACGAGAAGTTAGGTAGGCTTAATATAAAAGATAACGAAAAAGATCGATGGTGCCAGATTCAAGGACAAGTGGAGTAGACCATCAACAATTGTGACATGTGATGGAGATGTGTATTTATTGAAATCAGAGAAGAGGGTGGGATTACATGTCATGTGATCCGAAGCACATGAATCAATAACCCAGTTGGAGGCAGAAGATAATAGGCATCTACTAGAGTTACCTGTCTCAACAAATGCAACAGTCGAAGCAGTTGAATTCTCAATCCCTAAAAGTTCTGCCAATATAATAACAGTACTATCTGAGGCAGAGCAACGTGTGCTGATGAGCTCATTAGATGTCTGGCCAAAAGTTTCTTACACGTGCGCTTGGTGTGACTGAGCTCATGGCAGTAGTAACACTTAACATCATCACAATTTGGAATAGTAGCCAGTGAGTCAGTTGTTCGGTCACTGTAGCCACCTCTAGATCCCCCTCTGTGACCCCCACGAGATCCTCCTTGGGAACCACCATGGAATCCACCTTGACTAACCAGAGCATTGTTGTGATCAGAAGTTTGAGAAGACTGAAGATTCTCATTCTGAAGAACACAGACAAATGTTTCCTAAAGAGAAGGAATAGCATATTCATTCAGGAACTGAGATCTAATAGAGTCAATTTCTGGTCGCAAACCAGGCAAGAAACTGATATCAGCCACTTGTTCCCTCTGGGTCTGCATGGCTTTGACATCAACACTTAATAGAAGAAGAGAGTTAAGCTCCTCATATACTTTCTTGAACTCCATGACATAAGTAGTGAGTGATCAGTCATGTTTCTCCACAATGAAAGGACTTACAAACACTATATATTCGAGAGATGTTACTTTGTCCAGATATAGAAAATCAAGATAATCTATAAGATCCTTCATGTAATCACAGTGACTAACCAAAGACGAAACGAAAGGCTCAATAATATTGATAATCTGCAAGTACAAACGAGCATCACTTTGTAACCATGAATCAGAAACCCTCACCTTTAAGGAGATCAGATGTGAGATGAGAAGCCATTCCCATGTTTCGGAGATAGATACGAATAGTTTTGCTTCAAGCAAAGAAGTTGGAGCTATTAAGCTTGTTGTCGGTGATTACATTTACTGGAAGCTTCTCGGGTACACATGGACCACTGTTGCTGCCAGATGGTTTGTCTTTTCCAGTCATCTTCCAATAAATCATGAACCAGAAACCGTCGAACTAGGACAAATTATAGCAAGCCAGAAAAGAATGGCGCACTCACAGGGTGCCAAACCGCCAATGAACAGAGATGAAAACAATGACAAAATCAGAAAACTTCTAATCCAAGAAAAGAAAACGTACCAAGAAATTTCGACAAACAGAGATGAAAAATTTCGATCCGCGAAACCGGTGCTTGTTACGAAACCGTGCTTTGATACCATGTAACCAGAGATTATATTATTCCTTAACTTGTATCTTACAACAAAAGGGTACAAAGATATATATAGACAAGAAACCTAGGAAAGAGAAACCCTAAACGCTTGCGGGGTAACTGGACCAAAACAAATAAAAACAATATTTATATTCTAACACACATATTCTCACAGCAAGCAAATCACACTAACATAGCTCTAGCAAATAAGGCCAAGCAGTATGGTGGCACGATTGGTTAAGTCAAAAAAACACGAACCCCATAACATGGATGGTCAATGCTAAGCCAAAACCATGGCCGGAAAGAACAACAAAATTGAGGCAAATGCTTCTGTTGCAAATCAGATAGAAAAATAGGATCCTTCCATCTCTCAAGCTGAAGTAGAGGTTGCTTGAACCTTGAAGAACATACTAGCAAGCTTAGAGGCAGGATGGTACAAGAATATAGAGCCACCAACTAGTTTGTACAACATCTAAAGACAATAGAGGATCCTTTGGGGGATTAGAAGTCGAGGACTTGATTGAAACATACCACGCACACTCTTAGCAGATAGATTTGGGAGGAACTCTAGACGTTGATGCAACCCACCAAGGAAAGCAGGCTCACCATGATAAGGAGATGCCCATCATGCAACAAGAGGAGGCATGTGTTGACTTGGCTCTATGATGGTGTCGAAGTCATGAAAATGTTGGCAAAATGCACATAATTAGCTTTTTTGGGAACCTATCAATCGGGAGATCAGAAAGAGGTTCTATAACCTGAACTCCTGGATCGATTTCAAAAGCTCATGGTGAAGAACAATTTACTTGCCTCATTACCTTTTAACTTGACATATGTAATAAATATTCTCTAGTTTGCTTCATAAAAATGCTACAATCATGAGCCAAAACCAAGTTGGAATGATAGGCATTCCAAGATCTTGCATCCATTATAACTGATGTAGTCATTCATCTATTTCAAGCAAAAGAAAGAGCCACCCATGAACGAAAGACTTGGAGACACCAACTCCGACTAGGAAAAAGTTGGAGAATTACAAGACAAGGAGATAACAAGGCCTCATCTCCAAATGAACCAATTGGAAAGAGAAATTGGAAGCATGCGACAACCCCCCTTGTAGCTACCACTATGCAAAGAGCCATGTGGTTTATAAACTGGCATGAGAAGCAACACCAATAACCAAATGATAGGAGAAAATTTGACTGTTTGCAATTGATCTGCTCCATGAAGGCTCAATATGAGAGGCCCAACACGAAAGGCCACATGTTCCGCAAATCAGCTAACATCAAATAAAGGCCAAAATGTCGAGTAACACGCGACTTAATTGACAAAGCTGAGAGGTTTGGATTCAAGCCTTATATAGACTAGAAATGCCATTCAAGTCACTGAAGTCGACTAAAAGAATGTTATATGAGTTACAAAGAGGGTTTTATCTTTGTAAGACCATGATAAGACTATATAAGTGCAACAATAGTCCTACTAGACGACCATAAGCTAATCCTCACAATAAAAGTCTTCGACAAAGCAAAAGGAGTTCCAAAGCCCTTTAACAACACTCTTTGCATATCAAGGAAGTGGGACAATCATGGAGCCCACAAAAAGAGTAAGGGGGCAAACATAAAGGTTATCTCCTGAATGCAAATCTAGAAAGAAGGCATAAACCTTCCTAATGCAGACATGAGAACATCATGAACTTGATAAGGGACAATGTCATGAGACAAAACATCACCAATGCACCTAGTGGACACAGACTCGCCACCTACTGCAACAAGCATTGACCAAGAAAGGCACCATGACTACCTAAACTTCTCCGAGAAAATTCAGATGTATCATGTAAGATTCCTCAAGAATTCTTTTGATGTTTGTTATAGGATCTATCTCAGTTTAAGAATGTTAATGCATCTAGAATTCTCTCATTTGTGAGCATCCAACAAGAAATCCAGCAAAGCATTTATGAATATCTTACTACAAATCTCTTGGCATTCTTGCAATACTTGCATTCAAGTCCCTTAGCAAGGAAATCAAGCGAGCTTAGAACTCAAAAATAAAGCTACATGTTATGACCACCTTGTTGATCAAGGAAAAAAAACAACTTGAAGTAACGCTTTGGAACTGAGAGAGAAAACCTCTTATACTCATAGCATAGAATCTAAAAGGTGGGTCACAGTTTCAAGTGTGCTTCACTAAGTGTAGGGTCTTCGGTTTTGACTCTTTCCAAGCCAACAAGTGAGGGACTATTTTAAGGATCAAGCGATAAACCAGGACACAAAAAGGAATAATAGGATGCAAGCTGACACGCTACAACAATCAATGCCTAAAATTAAGTCCGATAACATCAAACAACTTCAACAAGGACTCCTACCAAATGTCATTGATGACTTCATTTTTCATATGTCAGATTCTAATGGTAGTCTCAAGGAACACTCTTGTTGTTGGTGATTTTTATGAGGACAATATATACCAACCTTGCAGATCAAAAGCAATGGTTGGAAACAGTAGAAACCTCTGTGCATGCTGCCGACCTTTCATTTTAGTCGTAACTCTCCCTCGAGGGATTTGACTCACTTTTTGTTGCATAGCGCATCCTTCTTAATCCTTCTTGCTAGTTTATTAAATTTGCCACTCCCAAAACTCCAAAATTTCTTAGGACGAAGGTTATCCACCTGCAAATTACTTCATATTGATGAAAACATTTGAACTTGAAGGACAAGGATTGAACATACAACCTAATACTCTATGTTTTCAGTTTTTTGCTTAAGCCAAGAAGAATTACTTCGATTATCTTTTTGATTCATTTCTTCCTTAAAAGTCTTGAATTGATGCCACAAAAAATATATGTATGCTAAAAGGGCATAAATAGGGGCCAAATCCATCAATGGAATATGCAAGATAGGTCAGAAATATATCACTTGCTGAGCACATCAAGATAAAAATGAAAAAGATAGCAAGTAATTAAAACTCAGGTTATACCAGAGTTATATTCCAGAAATAAACGAGAGCAATAATCACCACTATAACAGAAATATGAACTACCTCCAAAGCATCAGTCTTCTCTGATTCATTTATCTGAGTTTCATCCTCAATATCTTCAAAACCATTATCATAATCAGTCACTAATGCCTCTATGGCCTTTGCTAATTGCGTCAACGAGCTTGTCTATAGCATAAAATGTGAAAAACCAATCAAGTAAAGATCTATTTGGGATTGTTGACGTATAAAGTTTATAATGCTTACCTTGGTCACATAAATAGGTACATCACTAGAGTGAGCAGCAGCCTGAATCCGAGAATTTTTCCTGATTTTGGATAGTAGTGCAAGTATTGCATCTGCTTCACTAATATTCTCCGTGAATTCAACAGCAGAGTCCATCTTTAAGTTTTTGAATACTTGTATTGCACAGGTCTCTGAGACCTACAATAACTGCCCACATTACAAAACCACACGCCGCTTCCGACCTCACACACACTTGAGCTAAACAGAAGAAAAGGGTAGCCCCCGATTTCAAAATTACTTAGGATTTATAAAAATTATTGAGCAACTACATTATAGCTCCCATTTTATATTTTTGCAATAAAATCCACGTACACTTGTCACTTGAAATTTACTAGGTTTGACATGATAAGTAGAAGTGTAGCAATTTTTTTCTGGAGCAGAGTGATATATACTTCTACATTGAAGAGCGATATCATACCCCATAGAGAAACAAACACAAGGGTGGCTTATCATAAGAATTCTCTTTGTCGCTTCGAGACTCTTTAGAGATGTGTTTGTTAGAGGTAAGCTTTTCATTGGTCCACTGTGGAATGCCTTCAATTGTGGTGACACTCTTCTTGACAAATGAATCGTGTGCAATTGGATCATTTTGTAAAGTAACATCTACCTCTCCCTGATTTAATTTGCAAACTTGATATTTTGGGGAACGGCCTTCCTTGACATAAACAAAAATTAAAAAGATCAAATTATGAAACACTACTCCTGCAGGTTAAAAAGATTATAAACACATGAAGTGTCATGGAGAGATACAATACTAACAAAAAGTAGGTAAAAGACAAAAACAAACCAGAAAGAATAGCATCAACTGTTGCTTCCAGGCTACTATGAACTCTCAACTCAACCCTAGAAATGATCTCCACGGCACAATCAAAAGTAGATGGACCTTTTCTCTCCAGCACTGATTTCTGTACACCCCTTCGATTTGCCTCTTCATCTCCTAGTGTCACGCTCTGTGAAACCCATGCATAATGCAGTATAAGGCATGAAAGTTTGATATGCTAGCTATCCTACATGGCATACTACCAAAAAAATGCAAGAAATAAAATATTTTTTGTCTATATTACAGTTCAACAAATGTATATCTAGCCAGCCTTGACCTTTGGAGAAAACAAAAACTCAAATCATCGTTTGATACTAGCAACATTGCCAAAAACAGCAAACAGCTACCAAACGGCAGTCGGTCTAGCGGTATCTGGGTACCAGTAGAGCCCAACCTCCATGAGGTCAAGGGTTCAAACCATCCATGAGTATTTGCCGTATATATCATATATACTTCAAAAAGAACAGCAAACAGTTGCGCCAAAATACCCTTAGTTGTAGACATTAGCTAGCAGGTGGTAATCATTACATGCTTGGATTATAATGTTTCATTGGTTGGCATGTTGACACCTAAAGCATTAATTGCTATGCATTTCCTTGTAATTCTCCAGATTCCATATCCACATGCACCACACAACAAATAGTGTGATAACCAACTTACCTGTATTCCTCCAACAAGCATCTCCAACGAAGGATTCATCACCAAATTCTCTATCGTAATACCATGAGCAGTTGCAACTAACTGAATCCCGCGTTGTGCAATAGTGCTTGCAGCGGCTGCTTCAAGTTTTGTGCCGATTTCATCAATTACAATCACTTGAGGCATATGATTTTCAACTGCTTCTATTAACACCTGAATTACATCAAATATCAACAAATAAGAACCTAATACAAATGTTAGGAACCATATACAACATGCATAATATTAGAAGTTGAAACTACCCTATTACTCTCCTTCCATTCCTAATTAGGGCCAACCCTTGATTTAAAATTTTAAAGTGGTACTTCTAGAAATACAAAATCGTAATTAACGCTTTTAGTTTTTTTAAAATATAATATTTATGTAGGGCAAATACTCACACCACACACACACTCCTCACCTTCGGTGAGGTTTGAGCCCTTGACCTCCTGGGAGGCAGGACTCTAACCCCATGACCCTTTGGTTAAGCTTTTAGTTTTTAGCTCTGATAACTATTCTATTGTAATATATTGGGTGTAACTTAATATAGTCAGCAATTTTTCTCTACAACCAAAACAAGTCATTGATCTTGGTAGTATATTTTTGGGTTTTATAAGCACTCAAAAATCAACATGTATCTATACTACATTATAAAGCATTTGAGACAGTCTTAAAAACCATTTTTTGTGCATCAAGTACCATTTATTAGTGCATATTACTTAAAATTCAAGAATACAAGTAATTGGTGCATGATTACAACTTTTTAGAGTTGCATGGTTGAATCATATAACTAACTGATAAACATAATCAAATATATGATAAACATCTCATTTTAAATATAAAAAATCTAAACTATAATTAGGATAATTATTGAGTTCTAACATAATACTTGAATATTATTTTTATAAAAAAAATTACATTATTAAACCTAAAATATATTACATTGTTATTATACCTAAATTAAATTATAATAAAAAAATTGAATTAAATAAATTATATAAAAAATGAGAACTTTTAAATTGTTAATTCGATACTTACATCGATATACCTTTTTTAAATTTTTATGGGGTCTTCAAATTTATAGCTTATTCAAACATAAAAACATTATCACTTTCTCAAAACCACACAAAACCGTGTTATAAAATCAACAAAGACAAAGAATAAAACGAAACATTAAAATCAAGATGTATCGCGTTGCATTGCATTGCGCGAATACACTTCTAGTATACATACATACATACATATATATATATATATATCATCAAGACTGAATATGCCCGCTTAAGAACTGTAGATATCAATATATACATGTACAAGATTACGGTGAATAGCAAAGAATAAATGTCTGGAACCCTAAGTGATAGTTATTGATTACAGACTTTTCTAAGTGGCAACCTTGAGTGAACTACACATAATATAAAAAGAATAGGTTCCCATTGAGATCTATATCTCCCAACTTGTTACTGTATGTATATCCAGAAAAGAATACCAGGGGTATTAAATGGGTACCAGTCACAACTGATAGCAGTTGAAGGTTCCGGCTACTACCTTATGTTGCATATCAGAATCAGGAACTTGCATCCTTCGAGCATTACCTATACCTGCGTGAGGTATATCACCGTCTCCACCGATTTCATTTGAGGTGTCAACAATCATGACACGTTTCTTATAATCATTTGCAAGCATTCGAGCAATGTCCCTGTAATATAGAACAGTGGTTTAAACATAGATGATACATCATTCCCCATAGGGGCAGACCTATTAGGAGCTGAGTGGGCTTCCATGCACCCGCCACTCAATTATTTCAATAGAAAAAAGTTTGGTCGTCTGAAAGGTGCACCCGCTTGATTTCGAGGGGTGCTCTTAAATACTTTGAAACCAAATATATGATAGAAATTAAACATGGGTGGGATGGTTTGATTACCACTTTGATGGTCTGATACCACTTTATATACAAGAAATCACGGGTTCGAATCTTTCAGGTGAAAGTTCACTTTTTTATTTTAGGCTACAGGGCTGGCCCTATAAATGTTATTTCCGAAAATATTAACAGCAAAAATATAGTTAGAAGGATTGAACTCACAACTTCAAATATAATTATAAGCATTAATACAATTATGCTAAGGTAACTTTTTGTTAATTTTTCTCCCATTTTGATTTTATTATTAAATTTTTCATGATTTATTTTCCTTCCCAATGTTAATTCATCTTAAATATTGTCAATTTTTATCTCATTTTGAAGGTTGATTCCATTTGAAAAAATGTATTTTAATCCTCAAATCGACATAATTGACCTTTTCCTAGGTCAAATCTTGTTGACTTTCTCCCCAGGTCAAACTGTGATTTTGTGGACCTTTGATCCACATTAAAGGTGCATCCTCTCAAAGAAATTCTTGGTTTGCCACTGAGGGGGCCTTCTTTTAAGAACCTAACAATTTTTGGGAACTGTGAGGTCCATTTTGAGCCACTAAATTATATTAAATTAGGAAGTTAGTAACTACGGTAACTTTGATTTAACAATTTAATAAAGGGTATTATGGGTATTTATAAATATCCTCTCTCCTTTCTCCTCTCTCCTCTCTCCTTAATCACCAGCTAATGAAAAAAGAAAAAAATTATATCAACAACCATTTTTACTGGTTTGGGTTGTGAACACTATGAACAGCTTTGTGAACACAACATATTTGAACAACAAATGAAGACCATAGTGGATGATTTTTTGAACACCATGTGAACAACCTAAGGAACACTTCGTGAACAGCATATGCATGAACTACAATGGATATTTTGTGAACACCATGTGAACAACCTTCTGAACACTTTGCACATTTTAAGTATCTAGTAATACACTGAGAGCACATTGTGAACAACTGTGAATAGGGTAGGGGAATACCTGGACAATTTTTAGTGTTTGTGCTAAATTAAAACAGGGATCAAGTCTTGTGCAACCATCAATAATACAACACCCTAAATTAAAATACAATCAAAACCTCAAAACAGAACCCAAGTCAATATTCTAAATCCATGAAGTAGAAGCAAATGTGGTAGGATGACAATGTGTACAGTGTGCGTAACACACATTATGCACACTGTGCACACCATCTGGATTCACGAGAAGACCAACCGTTCATGAGATCTGGATGTTGGGTTGACGAGAAGACCATCCATTCACGAGATATGGACTCACCGATGGTGTGGTCTCCTTGCAACAACCAGTTAGGGTTCTCAAATGATTAATCCCCCATGATTCCCCCAAGGCCAGTCATGGACTTGTTCATAGTCATATTATCATATAGCTAAGGAAACTGCTGAATACTAGTAATGTTTTCTTCTGAGTTCTCTTTTTTAGACACTTCCATAAGAGCCCACAGGATTTATCATGAGAGGCATATGATGTTTCTCCCAATTGGATATCATACAAACTAAGATTGTTTGATATTATGTACCAGGGGAGGACACATAAGGACACCACGGAGAATGAAGTTAATCTAGAAATATAACAAATGCAAAAAAACGCTGAGATACTCTCCCACATGTAGAACTGTAGAACTCAAGTTCATAAATCAAGGACCCAAGCATGTTTTACGATAAACAAACAGCGTATTAATATGGTAGAACATACAAATAAATTATAACGTCAACTGCAAAAGTCAAAGTGGTTGCATATTAGTTTACTTAAAAAACAATAGGCTGGAATTCGAGGACACAAAATCCTTGTCATCCCATAAAGGTTGGGAGAGGGAATGCTGCAATGACAGATATAGCATGCTTACATTTGCACTGTATACGTGACTGTACAGATGTGACATAGCTTATCTAATCCAAACGGTAGCCCAGAAAGGTGGAATAAGATAAAATTGTGACAAGAAGATTCGGTACTACAATTGTTATCATCCTTTAAATGGGAAGACTGGTGGGGAAAAAGGCCTCTAATATAGAAAATAATGGAAGAGCAATGATAATCTATCCCGTGATTCCCAATGGCCTCTGTTAATTATTACCAGCATTTGTAATGTCAAAATGTTCCATGGTGGATTATAATAATCAGACAAAAGAACAGGCAAGAAGACCAGATGCAAGTATCAGCTCATCTTTGAAACATGAGAAACTTTGTGGTTCAAGTACCAGCTGAGTACAATGTAGGCATACAAAATAAGAAACCTGATAATTGTAGTTTTTCCAACTCCTGGAGGTCCAATAAGCAATAAAGAGGCTCCATCTTTAACCATATCTTGCAATAATTTGGCACTTCCTGATACAGCTCGACCGACACGACAGGTTAGCCCAATAATTGCGGCCTTGCGGTTTCTGATGGCACTAATCCGGTGCAAAGTTCTGCTGATGCCAGCTCGATTATCAATAGCAAAGTCACCTACCTATAATAGTTTATATTAATGAAAGTGACGGAGTGGTCGATTTTACTGCAGATAGACATAAATCCACCTCTAAAAAGATTCTGCAAACATGGTTCATGCCTCTGTGCAGTAGAATGGGCAAACCAATGAAAACTGAATATCCAAATAGAATCCCTGACTGTGAGATAAATATACCACTCTCCCTTGTTAACTAGATCCTTTTACTGCCCTAGGCCTATCCCCAAATTTGTACACCCTAAAACTCCACAATGAGATATCCAATCTTTACTTGAACAATGAATAGACAAACCTTGAGATCTAACTTGTTGTCGGGCTGTTTGGTAGTGTGGATTAATTTGTCTGTATAGATTAGGAAGGTTTTTGTTTAGAATAGTTTTTTCATAGATGGAAGAAGTGTGTTTTTTAACTAGGAGAGACGGGTTTGGAAAAAACTTAGATTGATAGCATAAAGCACTACCAAACAGTCATGTATAGTTGACCGAATAAGAGTTCCATTAAGCTCATTAGGCTGCTAACAAACAAGGAGAGTCATTAGAGTTAAGAAACAATAGTTATGAAATTGGCGGTGCTTTCGAAAAGTTTACAACATCCATAGTTCCAAATCAACAACATATAAGACTGGTTTCCTATCCTAGGAATTTGAAAACTTGACTCGCGAAGTCAAAAATGTGTCTCTAGTTTCATATCAACAGTCTTCATATTTCAATGATGATGACTACACATTGAGGCATGTACAACATCGTCCTCCCCATCAAGACAATACACCTAAAAGGGTTCCAAGAAATCACGCACACACATACACAAAATAGAGAGAGAACATTAAGTTATCAACTAACAGCAAAAGATCAAACAGCTGGTGAACAAGAAGCGTAAAATCATGTTTACCAATGAAGTAGCGTGTAAAAGATCATCCACCGTGATCAAATGATCAGATAAGACAAAATCTCCAGAAGGAAATCGAGCCAAGGGTTTCCGACCCAAATCCATAACGACCTCAATCAGTTGGTGAAGTTCGTGATGCTCGTTAACCCTCCGCCGCATCTCCTCCGGCAACAACCTCAACAAGCGTCCCAATTCCATATCAAATTCTTCTTCGCTCGAACTGAAAGAACCCATATCCGAATTCGAACAAGAACAAGAACTATACTCATAACTCCTGTGAACAATATTGTTCGAATACTTACGACGATGATGAAGATGAACAAAATGGGTTGTTGACAAGAATCTGAACACTTGGGTTTGGGATCCAACAGGGATTTTAGGGTGAGGAGAGATTAAGCGAAGAGGTAGACAGAGCATGTTCCGATTTTGGCGGCAAAATCAGCGTGTGTTCTTGTGCTCTGGTGTCGCTGAGTTCTTGATTTTAATGGTCGAATGAAGGAAGTTATCTTCCCGCTAAAGTTACAGATTGACCCCCCTTATTTTGTTTCTAATCATATTTTGACACCATCTTTTATTTTTTATAAATATGCCCTGTTGATGAATTCTTTAAGCATATTTTTGCTCATAATATTATAAGTAACCAGAAAGAGTTTTTACGCAATTCAACGAGACATGTCTCGATATTAATGTTTCATTTTAATTTTTTGGTCTCTGTCGATGTTATAATAAGGTTTTATATGGTTTTGAGCAAGCATTAATGTTTTTTTAATAAAATACAAATTTGAAGATATTATAAAAAATTTAAAAAAAGTTTTCATTTTTCTACGTAATCTTTTTAATTCAAAATTTTATTATAATTTAATTTAGATTTAATAATGAATTATTTTATTTTTGGTTTAATAATATAATTGTTTATAAAGATAATAACTAGTTATTCTGTTAATTTCCAATAATTATTATAATTATATTCTTGATTTTATATTTAAAATGAGAAGTTTATCATGTATTTAGTTATATTTATCTACAATTAAGTACACGAATTCAAACATGGAGCTTTAATAAGTTGTATTTACGCATAATTTACTTGTAATCATGAATTTTTAAGTAATATGCATCAATAAACAATACTTCATGTATCAAATATGGTTTTTAAGAGTTTTCATCAAATGCTTTATAATGTAGTATAGATTAATATAAAATTCTATTAAAATGGATAATGTTAAGGAATCATATTTATATTCGGATAGAATCGATTATCCGTGTGACGGTCAAAGGGTATGATAACTCCTTGATTGGCCCTTTGTTGTTTCTTGTGAGAGACTTCACCTCAAAAGCTTAAAATTGATAGATTTCCTATGGTGATACCTAATACCATTAAACTATATGAAGGTGGTCTTCCACCACATATATGATTATTGTGAGGTCAAGAAACATTGGTTAGTATAAGAAGTCAAACATGAGTTGAATATCGGTTTTTAATCTGAGACAATTTATGTCTCGTTAGCCAAAAACGTGCCTAGGTGAGACGACTGCTCTACAAGTACAATATTAAGGAAACTAACCCCTTTGGATGTATTGGTTGTTCCTCTTCTCTTTCTTAAAGGGAGCGATTATTTTCTCCAACTTAGCTTTCTCCCCTGCAAGTGTATGTGTGACTGTCTGATGGTCTTCATATTGTCAAAATTGTATTTGTGCGCTTCTTGTTAGGTTACCTCCAATAGCTTTCTGCACAGGGAATCTGTTTCTCCCATGACCATGTAAGAAGCATCATTTGCTTCGTACAATGTGTCATTGTTACGTAGGTGGACGCAACAGGAGTTGTTAGCATATTTGAGATTCTTATATGTGGTTGTAACTCAGGGGACACAATAACATGTTTATGTTTGATACATGGGACATGACATGACGAGACAAGATTCACTCCCATGTTTGATGCGACATGGAACGGGAGAAGAATCCATTGCCCATGTTTGGTGCGACACAGGACAAGGAGAAGAATTGGAAAAACGTGGACAATGTGTGACAAAAAAAAACTTTTTCTTGTTCCACAAAAATAGGTGGAATAAGATTGAACAATAATGAGGTATAGACTAAAATATTACTAATTAACCCTCGTTTGATATAACTTAATATGGTATTTGTTTTAGTGGTCACCACCGCTAGTAGCGGCTGCCGCCACCATCTGTAGCCACCTTCGGCCAATTCCACCTTCTCCTCCACTACTACAACCTCCTGCACCACCTCCACAACCATCGTTAACCACTGACCACTATGGTTCATCGTCACCTCCATAACCACTGTCGGCCACCAAGAACTACCGTTCATCTCCACAACCACTACTACCGTTGGCCACCTCCACTTTCTCATCTACTACAACAACCTCTCTTCACCACCTTCATAACTACTGTCGACCACCGACCACCACCGTTCATTGCCACCTCACCTCCACTATAACCACCACCATCGCCTACCGCTATCGCTATCTACCATCTTCACGACTTCCACAACCACCGACCACCAATGTCAGTCTCCACCACCACTAGTAATGTCGGCCACCACCACCACCATCGGCTACCACCACCACTGTCCACACCACCACTACCTCCACCACCACTGTCCACACCACCACCACATCGACCACAACTACCTCATCCACCACTGATGGTCCTCTACTGTTTGGTAGTTACTGAATGGTTTGGTGCAGAATGATTAATATGCTCTCATGATACAATGCAAAATGAAATATAATTGTTTACAATGAAATTAGGGGTTTGAATGGTTAAGGGAGACCCAATATGCAAAATCATTTTGAGGATTTTAGAACGATTAAGAGATTTTTTTTTTTTGCCAAACATCTTAACGATTTAGAGGTTGTCTCTTAATTGAACTATTAAGAGGTAAACAAACAATTCCTATACCACCCAACACCTATTCTTGGTCAGTAACCCTTTGATCTCATTTTTTAAAACCATTGGAGAGTACTTTTTCCAAAACAATTTTCTAAAATTATTTTTAAGCGTGCATAAATATTCAGATTTCTAATGGTGTTAGAGTTGTTTGCTTACCTCTTAATAGTTCTATTAAAAAACAACTTCTGAATCGTTAAAAAATGAATTTTGTTTGGCAAAAAAATGGGTCTGCCTCTTAATAGTTCTAAAACCCTTTAAATGATTTTGTATCTTGGGTTTCCCTTAACCATTTAGAGCCCTAATTTTGTTGTAAATAACTACCAAACAATTATATTTCATTTTGCATTATATCACGAGAGTCTCTTAATCATTCAGACCACTTAATCATTTTGCATCAAACCATTCAGTAACTTCATAGCGAATTCCTATAAAATATTGCAAAACTTCATCTATTTTCATCCGTTTGACGAACAATCTTGATATATACTTGCACAAATCCTTGTTTCATTCGATTTGCGTCTACTTGAATCATAATATATGACGGGTGTCGAGACCGGCAAATAATAAAGTCCAAACTAACACACAATTTTACAACCAAAATTGTAAAAGTGGTAAGTCGGGTCGAATCCACAGGGACTCGGCTTTAACTCTTTAGGACTAGATAATCAAGTACAAAAATGAAACTTTAAAATTAAATACGAGGGGGGGGGTATGTTTGTGCAAAAAGGATTTGAACATAAAAAAAAACGTAGAAAAAGCTTAAACAATCAAAATGAAAAGAAACTCAACTTCGGGTTACAAATGCAATTTTTATTCATAGGTCGTTATCATTGTCAATGTAAGTAAATATCGCCTCTACTTCGATTAACCCGGTTCTATTTGTTAAAAAGCTCTAACAAACAATTCCAACATACATGGCGTTTGAGAGGAACAAGCTCTCCTATCAAACCTTTATATGCAATTAGTCTCAAACAAGCTCTTGAAGACTTAATTGATACTAGCATTAAGATTAAATGGAACCCGGATCCGGGTAAATTAACACATAAGCTCGGTTAATTTTATCGTACCGTTTCACCCAATTTCACAACAAAAGTAGAAATCTTTGACAAAACCCACCTTGTTATGTGTCACTAACACTAGTTTACTAAACAATTACAGATTTAGAAAACTAATTTGACTACAATCGATTTCAACACAATTGATCAGAAAGTGTGAAACTCAATTTTATAAACCACAAACACAGAAATTGGATAAATAATCAAAGCTAGATGGAAATACATCATCTCAAACAACCATATGAATTGGAAGTTGCAAATGCTAAATAACCCAAAATTGAATCCTAAAGGAATTAGCCACACATGGCTAAACCTAGATTACGAAAATTCAAAATCTGAAAAGAAATACCTAGGATTGAAGTAGAAGTTGGATGAGCTCTCCCAAAATCGTCTCTTCTTCCTTTTCCATTTCAGAAAATCGAATCCCCCTTGCGTCTTTCTCCCTCGAACCGCTGCATGTTGCTCTCCTCTATCGTCTCTCGTCCTCCTCCAACAGCCCCCAATTGACAGCCCCTTTTTTGCTGTCGATTTCTTCCTCCAATCGCTGCTACCTTCCTCCCTCGACACGACCCTGTCTCCCCTTTTCTGCCCACGTTCGCTCCCTCTTCTTCGAACCCCACGTCTCTTTCTCGCCTTCTGATTTCTCTCGCTGCAGACCAGTCTTGGGTTGTTTCTTCTTCTTTTCTTTTACATGACTTGGGCTGCTTGTGTGTGTACAAGGTGAATCCATCAACAAATAAAATAGGCCCAAGACTTGGCCTATGAATCTCCTTTTTTTTTTTTTATTGGACTTCACAAATAAATAAAAGACTTGGTTCATACCTTTTACACACCAAATGGAGAAATTAAATGGACTTTTATCTTCATTTTTAAGACATAAAAAATATAGCAATCAATATATTTGTATGTTAAGATTTCTTCTTAAACCATTTGAAAAATATCAAATTCATAAAAATAACATATCATCTTTTTTGGGGTTTTAAAGTGTCATGAATTGGCTAACTTTTTATAAAGTGAAAGGTTGTTTACCAAACGCTTATCATATAAGAGGTTGTTTGCCAACAAAAGTCACCCTCACTTGCTTTATCTGATAACTTTATTGGTCATCAAAATGGATTATTGGTAACTGTCTTTTCTCCAAAAAGTGCTTACTAGGTAAGAGTATTGTTTTTTTTTTTACTTACAACATAAGATTCTCAATTATTGCTATGCCTTTTTTTTTGTAAGGGTGTCCGGGCCAAAGCCCGACTAATCCCCGACAATTTTGGAGGCTAAACATGGTCCCACTTAAATGTCTCCAACACTCCCCTCCCAGGGCTCGAACTTGGGTTCATGACTATGTCATGCCCAAACCTTTACCACTAGGCTGGAAGGTCTTTGACTTGCTATGCCTTTTACTGGTTAAGATTTTAGATAATTGTCATGCTCACTCAGCAAGGTAAATAAACCCAATAAGCAATTACCGGATAAGCGTTTTAAACTGTTTCCA